GTGAGCATCAACCAAGGCACGACTTGGTGTGGAATTCCATGGGCTGTGAAGTTGTGTAAGGGATGTAAGAAGATGCTTGTAGCGAGGGGTCGCGCATGCGGCTCTTCGTAGAATTGAGTTGAAGGAAAATTTGCACAAAGTAAATTTTATACAACTCAAGACCCTTGCAGAACAAGCCTGTTCCATCAAGAAACACAACTCACCGCTTTCTCTCGCAACTCTTGTGATTTTTAGTTAATCATTAAAAATTTCCACCCACCCACCCGGCAAAGTCGCGGGCGCCAGATTTGAGTGATGAGTCCTTTTTCTCATCAACGCAAATCTGGAGGCCCGCCCGCGTCGCCCCCCCCGTACCGTAGTATGACATAAACATTATGTTAGACTATGGAGGTGGTTGGTGATTAATGATGATGTAGTAAAACACATCACACTAACAACTCCAAGCGAGAATGGATGATGTACAAACCAGGGGAAATCCATAAGCAGTTACGGGTGCCAACAGTCGCACTAGTATCAATGGAACGATGAGTATATACGTCAGATCATTTACAAATTTGTAGAATTACTTCATGATGGCGACTACAAATGAAATATAAGATATGCAACTTACATCATGTCAGAGAATCAAGAGCAGTTGCAATGCGTGGTAGAATAGGAGATTGATACATCTCCAATATATTGTGCTCGAGAGGTGACAGCTTGGCAAGCCACTCTGATGAGTAGCAGTCAATCGGTAGTCCAGCTGGTGGTTTTAGCGGACTATCTGGAGCATTTTCTGTGCGTAATCTTGGTCGAAGCGGTCGTCCGTGCGTGTTTTTTGGAATACTGGCAGTAACTGATGCTTTATAAGCATCTGAAGATATAAAAACTTGCTCTAATGCTGAACTGCGCCATTGGAGCTTCCTAACGCGGCATGGAACTGCAGGACGCAGTTTGTTCGGCGATTCAATCTCGTGGTTGGTTTCATCGTCACTGCAGGCTACCTCAACAATGTTGGAAAGACAAAAAAGTGATTCTTTCGACATGACAATCTCATCCCGTAAGGTTTTGAGCTATTGAGCGAAAAGATAGTGTCAGCAGCCTTGTGAGAACAGAGCTGTGGCTTGAAAGTACTAACATGCCTCATTCTAGCCTTTCGTCGTGTTTCGTCTACACCTTTTTTTTCGTTCTTCATCCCAGTTTTGCTGGCAATACCTATCAATTTCAAAAGGTAAGGGTAAGTATGGATCCTTGGCCTTTGCGCGCAAACTTTGAGAAACATGTTCTAACCTTTTTGATAGAGAAGTCACGTAAGTTGTAAAGCATCTCTTGATCAACGCAGAATTTTCAGGGGCCAGCGAGACGCCATTATATTCGCCGCACTCCACCAGTTTTAAGAAAATTCCCAAAGCCAGGCTCCAGAGCCACCGATTGTCCTGTGAATTGGAGGACTCAGAGAAGTCGGGTCGAAAAGACGAGACTCCCACAGACTTCATCATGCGCCACATGACAGTCAATTGCTGTGGAGTTGAGTTGATGTGTCCAGGTCCATCGGGGTACGGATAGCATGGATCTGCAGGTATGCGGCCGGAAGGTCGTAGCGGAGGATTTGAATCGTCCTCCAAATCAGCAGGATCGGTTTCGCGCATCCAATCAGACTTCTCTTCTTTGCCTGCTGGTTGTGGAAGTTGAGTTTCATGAGGGCCCAGCCCTAAAAGTGTATCAATATGAAAACGCATATGCGACTTCATAGGACATCAAAGTGAGAGTTGGACTGTTATTTCAAAGCAAGTGGAGAGAGAGATATTATGATGTGGACTTACAGCTGTACATCCACCGCGTGTCTTCTTTGGACTATCACCTTGATCCATCTTGAGGCTACTCACTGTCTTTGATAAATATCTCAAGTCTGCGGTCAAAGATTCCACCTTTTCATTCAGTTCATTTGTTTCAAGCTGAAGGCGCTGAATGAGAACTGAATCTTCGGCAACCTTGCGTTTCAAATCACTCAATGTCCATTCTTCAGCTTGAATGCTTTCATCAACAGTAATATGAGCGGCGGTACCCGACGTTGTAGGACCAGGCTTTGCGTGTGTTGAGGATCTTCCAGGCCTTTCTGAGGGTGCAGGAGAGTTTGCCAATGAAGCAGGATTAAGACGGTGACTGACTTTCTGGCGGTGATGACGATTTGAGTACCGATTGGATGACATATCTGATTGACCATCAGATATACTATTGAGCTCCCACTCGCTTTCCTTATCGTCATCCGGCTGTTGTTTGTTTGACTTCTGTTTTGACAAATTTGAGGACAATTTTCGGATAGTTGGATTTGGGCGGGGGTAAGACAAACGGCCGTGCTCTAAGCTCGGGATGATGGGAGCGGAAAGTTTGGAGGTTGATCTAGAATCACTAAGATTTTGGGAAGGAGTCGCCGAGGGAGAATTCGTGGTCGATGAATTGTCCTTCTTCGTGGATGATTTGATGGACGCGCGAGTGCGCACAACACTATCACCACTCGACATGTCTTTGACTTCAAAAATCATGCAAAAACTCTTCAGAATTCATATCAACTTGAGGTAATGTTCAGAGCGCAAAACGTACCTGTGGAACAAGTCTCCAAGTCCATGGAAGATACCCCTTCCCTACCCTTGCCCTTCTGTGAGATGTTTGGATCCAAAGACAAAGTTGATGTTGATTCTTTCGGTCGGATCTTTGAAGCATCATGCCGGCCGCTTGTGCCTGTACAAGATGGCTGTCTTGCTTTTGACGCTTTGATGGATTTTTTTGATGATGGGCCTTGAACCAAAGCGGGTGATGAATCCGAACCTACAGTTGCTTTTGTAATAGAAGCGCAAGACGTCCTACGGCTGGAAACGCGGGGGATGGGTTCCAAAGAGGCGCTGTCTGCTTGTAGATTGGTCGGTTGTGTTGAGGTGACAGACGATGATAAGACCTTTGATGTCGGCTCTGATGAAGTCGAGACAAGCTGATCTTTCTTTTTTTTTTAGAATGCTGATCCTTAGGAAGCGAACGCATGGGACGTGGCACTTCAGAGTTGGTCTGTACCACCTGGGCCTCCTCGGTAATTAAATCACTTGAGTCAGAATCTTCAATTGGTCCCGAAGATTCGATTGAGGTCGCTGATTGACTTGTAAGAGTTGGTTCTGTGGATGGATGAAGCTGGGAGCCACTGACAGGAACTTGTACAGTGAAGGTTGAAGAATCGTCGAAAGGAGTTGACGGATTCGTAACAGGGACTTCACTCAAGAATTCTGCTGGAACAATGACTGTTTGTATTCACAACAGAGAATCAATGTTATGATTCGAGAAGAAGTAATTATACAGTCGAAATGTTACTCACTCAGGTCGTTGTAAGCCTGACACTGACTAATCAGTGCGTCTCTATTGAGCGGAGCCGTGTTGACTCCAACATCCCAAAGTAAGTGTGTTAGCTGGGTATTGTTAAATTGAGAGAAGTCGACTGCAGGCACTTGCACTTCATCCGCAGGTGGACTGGCGGGTATGACAGGAGGTACAGTCAGAGTTAATGATGGTCCAGTTTGTCGTCCTCGAGTGATTTGACTGGCGGGTTTGATTCGCTCTTGATCGACATCTGCTCGCAACCTCTTTTGCTGCACGTGCTTGTCAAGAAGCTGCAAAAGCCCGTTCCGAGTTGTCTTACACCCAATCGGTACACCAACCTTATTCAGACTTACAGTAGCCTGACTCAAAGGGACCTGTCCGTCTACTATCAAGAAAACCGCGAGAACATCATGATCATCAACTTCCAGTTCCATGAGAGATGAATCGGATGTTCATACAACTGACCTATGGGATTGTCGGACTCCAATTCTACACCCTTCCTCTTTTTATTGGACGTTTTGCGTAATACCATTTGGTGACAATAGAGACACTGATTACGAAGAAGATCTCCTTGCTTTAAAAGATAGACGTTGCTCGAAAAAATGAACCCTTGGTTAATCAAGGACGGTGTACAGTTGAGCGCACTAGCAAGAGATAAGACCAGACCCGCTGGGGAGGTTTTAAACGAGTGATCAGAGACCGGTGATCAGAAGAAATTTAGTAGATCACGATTAAAAAATAACGATGAAAGATCAGAATGAGTGTGTGACTATATCTGCTCATGTGCTTTTGTGGTCAACAAAAGATTTTTAAGGTTGTAGATCGCAGATGGAATCCAAACAAGCTCAGAATGAAGCAATGCCACAGGACCTGCCTGTAACTTTTGATGAAGTCAAATAGACAAAAAGGTTGAACAAAAGATTGATGAAAGTGCTTGATCATGGAGCTCGGGATTTTAAGTCAAATGGACGGTTCGCTGCGCAAAAGGGAAGGGTGCGATAATTGATCAAAGGATTTTAATATAAGACTGGTCACCGGCAAAACAACATGCTGACATCACCAATCTTCCCAAATATGAATAAAACAATTGGCTCAGCTACAGTCACTTGGATGATGCCTTTCAAACGGAGATGTCTTGTAACAACATAAGATAACCAACATATGAAAAGTGGGTAACCAATAACACCATTCAAACACATAAACCTATGATATACTCATGATTCAGTAACTTTGGAAATTATGATAAGAATGTCACAAGATAAATTTGAAATTTTGATTCAAGGGTGGCAGAGAGTTTTCGAGTAGAGGAGTTGAGAAGACAAGATATATGTTCTTGATGTCAAACCAGTCTGCTTGCGTGTAATCACATTGGCCAAGCAGTTTGATTTGCTATATTCGATTTTGCTCTACATGTCATTCAAGAGTAATACTAAGAAACAACGTCAATGGATTACTTTTAATGATAGACAGGATACGACACTGACCAGCCATATGGATTTAACATGATCCCAAAACCTTACTCAAAAGCAATGCGTTCCACCCTGTTATTCAAAAGTATGTCACAGTTTGATGAGACACTCTGCCTTTTTTTAATAACAGAGGAAAAAGGAGATGAGAGACTAACCTTGTTTCTAAGCCGCGCCATGAGCTTCGCCGTGATTTAATCCACCATCACCAGCGTCATTAGCTTGGGGCTCCGGCACCGGTTGCAACTCAATTTGAAATGGAACATCAAAGGAGTAGATGATTCCACGTTCTCTGTCAAAGACGTGCAGTTGGCGGAGGATGGGGACCACATAATAGATGAAGGAGTCGACAAGTTGAGGCTTGGTTTGCATGCGAACTCGAGGAATCGTATGATGGAAACACTTCAACAATTCACGAATATTGGCTGTGGTGGCAGATCGACTATGGATGACAGATATATCAAGAGTGACAAGGTCTCGAAGATGAACAGGTATAGTGTAAATATGAATCGGTGGAGGAAGCGCGGTAATATGGTTATCAAGGGTTACTCCATCGCTTTCGAAGTCTGGCTGGAAAGGATACATTGGCGGAACGTTACCAGCAGATAAATCAGGAAAAGACATGATTGGTTCTAAAAATATTGATGAGATTATAAGTGATCCAAAAATTTGATTTAAGATTTTAGCTGAGATGTTGGAAAAAAGTCTTAGAAAACTAGACAAGAGACACTGGCTTTATAGTCAAGATATCTCGCCTCTCGAAGCTTGTTATCTGAAAACAACCAATTAATGTATCAATGTATAGTAAGATATTCGCGTCGTACGTTTGCCATTGTTTGGAAGTTTGTTAGGACAAACTTTAATTAATGTCATCAATCTCATGAGCTCAACCCTTCATGATATCATGATATCATCACTGTTCTAACAGATATTAGAAGAGAAACGAAGAGTTTCCACTCTCCTTGTTGAGAAAAAAACATATTGATTGCCCATATCATATGACTTGAGTCCGCACAAGCCAGAAATCTAAAAGGCATGAAGGTGTCTCATTCACCGGTGGTCTCATTATGTATTAGATATATATATATCATGTTGGCTACAGTACAGTAGTCACTAATGTTTTAACGTACTCAATCTGAGTACTTCTAATTATCTTCCCCTTGCATATATTCAGGGTTGATGTGTACAAAATTAATCGAGCCACATGTCCTCATCAAGGGTCAAGAGTCCAAGACTATAGCTATATTTATAATGTCTTAGAATTGAAGTACGCATATGGATCCCGAGTTATCTCGGATTAAGTAGATAAGTCAAGATGGAGATTAATTACATGGAGAATGGGGTGCGTCGGCACCGGTGTGCGTCGGATGGGTCTAAAAACAACACTCTTATTGAGAACCTACTTTACAAGTCTTTTCAGAACCAGTCAATACAATCCAAATAGAAAAAAAAAGTTCAAGATGAGACACGGAATACAGCAGCTAGGTACTTGACAAGATCAAAGTCAAAAAAACAAAGCTAAGGATTATTTGGAGGCACGGGTGCATCTGATAGGTTTGCAGACCAGCTGTACCTAATTACAACTCAGAGCTAGTAATTGAGCCATTCTCATCGCCTTCCTCTACACTCATTAACCCTTTGAGAACTTCTTCCTGGACTTGTATGTCCTCGACTATGGTACTTAACTGTGCGCAAAGGTCTGTCACTTGAGATTTCAAGTTTGTGACCGAGGCTTTCAACTGTCCAATATCTTCGTTTTTATGTTCCAGCTCTTCGACCCGCACTGTGAGGAGACGTACTTTGTCAAAAGAAATATGAGCAATCACAGAAGAATCATTTGATCACAGAATTGAGCCCACTTACTGGCTTCATCTTGCCGCATCTCTTCTGCTAAAGCACTTAAATCGGATTTTTTGTTTGTCTCCATTCTCACTCTGAGCTTTTCCACCGCATCCTCTAGCTCCCAAACTGATGGAAGGAGACATTCAGCAAAACACTGATATGCAGAAGGTAAATAGATGTACTGACGTTTCTTTGCTTGCTTTCTTTCTTCCTGAAAGACTTCCACACCAGACCTTTTACCTGAAACCGAACCAGATGACATTTCAATAGGTGGGATGTCATGCCCAATAACTATTTGAATCAGAGAACACTAAGCAAAAGTTCAAGGAGACATGATTCAAAGCTATTTGTCTTACTTGCCTGGATTTGGACTGTCCATCCAGTTTGTCTCTGACATGTCAATAAGAGGTGGAATGACATCTTTGACCTTGACCGAAGCTCCAGGTGAAGCATGTACATTGATGCACTGTGACATTGATGCTGCAGGGATGACTCGATTCAGGTTTGTACCTTTGTGTTGGATGCGTAGGAGTTTTCCGGGTCTTGAGAGCTAGAAAGACAAATCTTAATCAAATGAAATCTTGCTTGATCTCTAATGATATTGGATGACTAACCAATTTATCTTTCTTACGTGGTTGGGATGGGTCTGGTAAGCTGGTGGCATTCCCTAAATGAACAAGTTTCATCAGTGAACATTGTCGAATTAGCCAAGTCAAAAGCAAAATGACCAGCTGAAAATCATTACCTATCTCTGAGCGTTTGAAAAGTCGCTCACCATTGAGCTCGTCAGTCGCAGTTCATTTTTTCTTTGCTTTAGTATTAGTACTGGACTCCAAGTGTGGAAGAGGCTCAACAGGCGCCGTTAGCGACATATGGGAGTATTCCTGAGCCTGGGAACAGCGAATGAACGTTAGCCTGAGATCACAAGTCGTGTAGACAGAGGGTTGGAAATGACATACTGGTGAAGGAGTGCTGTGGATGGGTGTGGTCCCGTTCTCAGATAGGCTGGGAGTTTGAGTATCAGCAGTTAAATTGAGAGCAGGCGCTTCACTATTAGGATCCGGAAAATCTGGTGTAGCAAGACATGGGTGAAGGATGATCCACATACATGATATTTTATGATTAGCAAATTCTAAAAATGATCAATGTGTCCAAAAGGAAAGAGCTTACATTCCGGTTGCATCTCACGGACCATCTTAGAAACCTCGTTTTTGGTGATTCCAGACTTGACTGGGGTCTGTGGATGATTGATACGCATCCAATCGAGCATGATCTGCTTGCTCATTCCGCGGCTGCTTGGGTCAAGCATGATGCCAGTGTAGTCGTTTGTAAATAGTTGATTGATCAATCAAAGATGAAGACAGTTGAACGCGCTTAAATAATTGGATGATTAAGAATGGAAACAGTTGAATTACGAGGTTGAAGAAGCTGATTAACAAAAAGATTGAAACCGGGTTGAAGGTAGAGGACAGGAGTTTGATTAAAGAGAGGTTCGATGATCTATATTATATATAATATTATACTCAGATTAGGATTGGAGGTATAGTTGATCAATATAAGCGTGCATATGATGATCTAGAGTATTACTTTCATGGATTACTCATCATATGATATTATATTGGGCTCAGGAGTGTCCAACGATACGTTTTGTCGCGTCATTGTGACAAATCAGTGCTGTTCGAGACACCAGTGGTTCGAGATAGCTACAGAATTGTTTTTGAAAGGGACCTTCAAAGAACTATAACATCATAAAAACAAAGGGGAAAAAATGGTTTGAAGAGACATACCTTGCTCTTCATGAGATAACCTGTCAGGCTGACGACCGTATAGTCTTATATGAAGTAGACAACCAGTGTCAACTACAAGTCATTTTTTGCCAAATGCGCCGGTGAAATGTACACAACTGATTAAGTGATGGCTTGAATGTAGGGATGGAAACTTGATCTTCCAGTCAATCAGCTTGCATGATTGGATCTGGTTGATTGGAGCCAAGTCAGAACTTTATCAATCGAAAGAAGGACAAAAAGTTGAGAAATCGAACAAGTAAATATATACACTTGTAACGCAATCATTGTTTTACCAGCGACACCTCCGAAATCATGACATGTCTATGATTGAGGCAATACAAAGATTTGTTTTAATACATCATACATTTCTGCAGGTAATTGAAGATGAACTTTGATTGTACATATGCCAGCGGATGATCATAGTGATCATCCGCGGCTTTATGACTTTTGTTAACCTTACATAATACATACCTTTGACCCAGGTTATGTAATTCCACACTTTTCTAAACCTTAAGGTAAATATTATTATTTGGGTAGTGTATGATTCAGAGTTTTTTCAATTCGTGCTTCAACAAAGGAACTCATCTGGCTTTTGTTGGTATCTCAAAAACTTCATTTCATCGAGCTCATCATCAAATCGATCCCCTTCTGGTTTCATATTTACTCTGACTTTGGATACATTTATGAAGAAAGATGAATGAGGGAGTCACCTTACCGAGCGTCCTTCTGGTTCAGTTTGCTATTGTATGGTATTCAAGGACCTGGACTCCCATCGCTTCACTGCTATCGATCGAACTCAGACTTCTCGCCTACAGCTTATTGAGGTGAATCCCTGGCCAACATGGGCCTTCATGTTCTCCTTTTCTCTTCGCCCTTTGGCTGGTGTCTTGGCGGATGGTCAACCTCAATCTTTGGAAGCATCAGGTCACAGCCCTTAATGATACCAAGAAACAGACTATCAAACCATCTGGCCCAACGTTGTCAAGATACATTTTGGCACCCAATGAATATCAGATCAATGATCATCCAAAGACTGTTTCTGACTTGGGGACTATCGCGTCTACTCAAACTCAACTCTCGACCGATCAGAGCAGCCTGTGTTCCAAGCTTCCCTTACCGGCCGAATCGCATGATCTGCAAGATCCTGCATCCTCCACTCGAAGATCAACACAAGAAAGCAAAAGTACGGAGTTGAGCATGGCATCATCCGAGTGCAATCAATCAAATGAGATGAAAGAAGAAGCCGATGGAGAAGCACAAGAGCTGTCTGAATCCGCACCTTTACTGTCCAAAGCTCAGCTGTCGCCTCCAACAACTACAAAGCCTATTCCTCAATCGAGTAGACCAGTTTGGCTTTTCAAGTCAATTCTTGGGATCTCGACAGATTCTCTTGGCACTAATCGATTCATCTTATTAGTCAACTTGCTCTTGACAGCGTTCTGTATGGAGGCGAGCTTCAGGACTGGTTTTTTCAATGATGAAGAAGATTTGGCATTTGTGAGAGTAGGAGCAGTAGGTGAAAATTGGGCCAAGATCCATGCTTGAATTCCACCTCGGGATCGAACAGGTTCAGAACTATATGGTTCTGATGTGATCTCAGTGGATGCCATCGTCATCACCAATGAAACCTGTTGGGGATTGGATAGTAGGACCCAGATTCTTTACATCTAATGAAACTGACTGGAATTCAGTGTTTAAGATTGGCAATTATGGCCTGGTACATTTTGTGAATGTGAGTAAGGATCTGATAACTTCCAGCTTGCTTCCGAACCTAAGTGGCACAGCCTTGAACCTACAAATTAGATCAGTTAACATCCTTGACATCCCCCCACATGCATCATGATTGGTCCCCTGCCGGGAGACACTTTAGGACGGTCCCTGATCCACACCTCGCATCTAACACGGTTGTGGAGGGGTTTTTTCATTTGCATACACCAGCTGTATCAAACGTACGTTATTCTGACTCATAAACATTTTTGTATGCCCAGATCAACTGATACATCTGTTTGACACTCTTTCACAATGTGCAGCTGGGTTTCCTTACAACCCTCTTAGATTGCCCCTTCACAACAATGGAGCGCAGAACAGCTTGCCCAAATTGCTCATGAGCAACATTTGGACTTTGTATTGGTCCTTGGTGACTTTATTTATGCTGACTCACCTCCCTACGCTGGAAATTGTGTACAAATCTTTGGAGAAAGTACCAAAAATCTTACACAAGCGCAAGATGGGAAAAGGTAGACAATCCATTAAGACTTGAATTTTTGATTCCTCTACAGGACTCTATGGGGATTGACACAATGAATTCATTTACAGTCCCTGCAGTCCATCAGGACTATTCGTATCTATGATGATTGTGAAGTGAGTGCATTTCAGACAACATATTGTCTATCAACCTCAAATTTGACTGAGTTTTTATACTTTTGAAGATCTACAACGGCTGGGCAGGTCAAGACACCAACACGGACCCAACCTTCCAACCAGCAAACAAAGCATACAAGCATTATCTCGGCAATGCCAATTATGATGGGCCTGGAAAGGGCAAGAACTATTGCTGGTTTTGGTATGGTGATTTTTTGTATGGGACTGTTGTTGTTATCGACATCCAAACCAAAGTTTGAGGTAGACTTTTTTTCAACTTAAGAATTATATATGTGATTTGTTTTTATATTACATATATTGAAGGTGTTTCAGTAAATGATAGAATGGAGAAAATCAAATTAACCACTTTAATACCAAAACCAGCTATACCAACTTTAACACCAAATCAACCAAACCAATGTTTCAAAACATCTGAAAAATGATGATCAATTTCAAACAATATCAAAACTTCAAGTATCTCTACCAAAAACTAACTTACATCATCAACAACAGTAAGATAATCAACATCAATACCATGGAGATAATCAACCAATTTCTCAATTGATTGTAATGAATCAGAATCTTCTCTTGATTCTTGATGTAAAATTCTCAGTTTGCTCAAGTGTTTCAATTTGTTCTTCATTTTACTGACTGCCAAATTTGTTTCTTTTGATCCTGTTAAAGTCAATTTATATCTTTGATTTGTTTTTTGTTTTTTGAAAACAAAGTCATGTCCAGAGGAAAGAAGAAAAATCATCAGTGTAACTAACTGGAGAAATTCTTCGACCGATGTTGAAAGGAGTAAAGCTTACTGATGAGTATGACATTTTCAGCCATAATTTCTTCAAAATTCTTTGAACTCCTCTTCTGAACTTTGGTTTTGATTTTCCATTGAATTGATCTTCAATCTTTCAACTTTGATTTCGGGTGAATTTAATTTTTGTTCATGTTTTCATGTTGTCTTTGTCTCTTCTTTCAAGTTGGAATAGATCTTCACTGTCAGATCCAATTCTTGCCCACTCTGGATCATTAATTTTCAACATGTTTAACTTGTTTTTCAGGACAAGGTGTTTCTTGGAAGAATTTTGTTTTTTGTGTCAGAATTGTGATTGGGATTTTTGTTATTGTGATGAAAGTATTCAAAAAAATACAAGTGAAATGCAATAGATGTAAAGATTTTGAGCATATACTTCAGTACAACTTGCCAAACTTCAGGGTGTGAGTCTCATCATTTTGCCTACAAACTTTGGTGATGTGTGAGGATAACTGAGATGTTACATCAGGTCAAAGATACAAATAAATCATGAATTACAAGTTGAGCAAATGGATGATGAATGTTGAGTACAAGCACAGGTTAAGACCGTTGAGGCGGCGCCCGCCGCTAATTGTGCTAGTCATACAAGTTAAAGGAAGACCGTGTTCAGCGGCAAAACTCCCAAAACTCCCAATCCCTATTCCAAATTTTGAGGTTTGCGCATCCTGATCATTTAATTTCATCATCACGTGTTCTACCATCACCTTCATTTGCCACTTGCAAAACACCTAAATCCTCATCTTATTAACCTCACTTCGCCTCTTTCCAATCACTTGACTGCTTGAACACCACTCTTGAAGCATATTGCACCGGTCTCCGCTCCTAATAAATCACACTCATCCTGTCTTCTTGACTATGACGGTTCTTGACTCAAGAGTCGAGTTGCTGCTCACCCGTGCCGCCATTGCTGATATCGAGCTTCTTCCTAGCAATTCATGATCAAATCAACCGATCCTCAGTCCAGCAATTCATTAAATAACCTGATCCTCAGTCTGACAACAACTACAAAACTATTGAACCGATTCAGAAAGATAAGAAAACAACCTTCAGTCAATCTAATGAGACTATAGAATCAATCCAAAACAACAAGAAAACAAAGTTTGCTCAATCTAATGTACCCATCAAACCAATCCAACTGAATAAGGAGATTGTATTTGGAGAAATTGATGAACCCATCAAAACAACCATCAGATCAGAACCAACTCAAACCAAACCTGAAAAAGATGCTAATTCTTCATCAATATTGAAGAAAGAAAACTCATCCAAAGACGAAGTTGAAAAAGTCAACTCGAGAGATGATGGACGAGAGGATCCCGCATCTTTGGAGCATCCCCATTGATGTTTCATTTTGTGACTGTCTTCTCATTTCCTTCATTACCACTCGATACTTGGTTTTGTTACCATCATGGTCCATTGATCTGCTACTCACGCTGGGTCTTGGTACACCTCTTCCCGTCAGGTCATCTCACTTCATGCCAATTGATAGGTGGTATAACTTTATAGTCCAGCAGCGATCAAACCTTCACTTGATGTTCATTTGAAACTGTCAGGGAAACATCAGCTAACAAGCTCAGGAATGAGATCAACACATGGCTCGAAGCTGCCCATCCTAAGGCTGAGACGACAGAGGAGAGGCAAGATTGGCGAAAGGTCGCAATGCCAGTGCCGATCAGTCACTGTAAGGAGGTCATCGCGCCGTGGGTTCACCTACTCGCTATCTCTGAGGTGAACCTGCTCACTGCCCAATCTCACGTCCGACACTAGGCATGTAGGATACTTGTATTCTGGTTTGACTGCCGCTTGGGCTTATAAGACCATTGATCCTTCTGTGATGTGAATAGCTGAGTGTCAAAGGCAGGAAACATGTAGTGCACTGAGGTTATCCTTTGTCCCATGTTTACCTTGATGGCTGCGCACTGTCTGGATGCGAAGCATACAAGATTCCTCTAGGCAATCTTGAGATTGACATACAAGGTTGCTTCTCCTTGGCTTCTCCTTGTTTCTCCTTTGACGCATCTTGCCAAACTGAGTTTCGTCTCAATCTGTTTCAATCTTCATATTTCTGATCGGCCATCTCAGTTACCTTGGAATTGGCGCAATGGAGATGGATATCAAAACTGATAAGGCCGAACATAGTATCGAACTCCATCTTCCTTATGTCCGACACATTTCAAAGAGTTTGTAATACTAAGTTTTCAAATAATCAGTCCGATCTTGTGTTTGTACAAATAACTAATCAGTCTTTTTTCTTCAAACCTTGCTGTATTATAGTCAGACCATCACCAATGTCCCTATACTTATAGGATCAATATCTTCTGAGAAAGAATTTATCTATGGCAAAGTATTGCAACCCTATCTCCTTTCACCGGAAAACCTTTTTGTCATCTCATCTGACTTTTGTCACTGGTGAGTCACCACATGATATCTTATATTTTGACACAGATACCATGTTTTATTCGCTGACCCATTGTTTTCATTGGCACATCAATTGGACATACAAAGTGGGCTCACGTTTTTCCTACACTTATTATAAAGACCTGGCGCGCAAATTGAGTTCCGGTGCATCTCCTCCAGCAACGCCAATTTACCAATCAATCGAGGCATTAGACCAGGAAGCGCTTAAGATACTTGAAAGCCTGTCTCATTCGGAATTCAGCCGTTACCTTTCTCAAACTAAGAACAATATATGTGGTTGTCCAGTCAATGCGTCCCAGCTTGTGATAGTATTGTGAGTTATGCTTCTGCGTTTGTAAGTCTTGGATTAGAAGACGCCAAAGTACTACAATGTCAACCTATTCGTGCGAGTCACAATACTTGACAAGTCATACAAATACAAACAAGGCTAACAGCTCATCATGAGTAACAAATCTGATATCTACAAATTGTAGAATTGAGGTTAATTTGTTGATCTGTTTTTTTCTGTTTCAGTCAATCGAACTCAAACCAACTTGGTATGATACATCTTACTTACCACCACTACTTTCAACCAGTAAATCTAAAATCCTTACACCACAACGGATCAAATCATTACATGCAGGAGGTCAATTTGTCTACAAATCTTAACTCATCAGACAGAATCCTTGAGATCATCAGTTAACAAACTCAAAAAAGGATCATACATGAATCACACGATCAAATTCACAATCTCAGAATCAGATAAAATATTTATACACGAGATTTCAACAGCAGGAACTTTGAGCGATAAGCTTTCTGCGTTGATCTTAGTGATCTTTTCTTCACCTTTACTTGCAAACTTGCACAGATTCCTTTTGATTTGTAAAAAACATCAAGAGGTGAAGCTGGAAAATTGATTAGAGGATTAGCTCATTGGTTAGAAAAATTAAATCATTCTGGTTTACCTGATCAAAAGTCAAAAAGTTTTCAAGATCAAAATGAAGGACTTGGAAGTTTGAGATTTGAGAATGAACAGCTTTGGGAAGGATTCAAGAGAGTTTGATGAGAGGTCCGAAGAACATGTGCTTGGATATGAGTGGTTGGCTGTTTGTTGTTTTGAGGATTGGTTCAAGAAATGATATCTAGAATTCTTGGGAATCATTGAAGTAAGCTGTTCTTTCATTGAAAATCTACAATTCTTAGGTAGAGAAACTGATTAAAATGAAATAAATTGGATTGGCATTAGAAAAGTTTGCATAATGTTTCAGTTTTCAATCAAATTCAAAGTGTTTCATGGCTCTATTATTCATCAAGTTTAGAAGCAGAACAAGAACAAAACTTATTGAGATTATTAGTGAATAAATTAGGAGATTGAGAAAACACAGTATGTTAAGTTGTTATCTTTCACAAATCTTACAATTACATCTGGTAATGAAATCTATAATCACACAAGGAATCTCAGGATTAATGTTCAAATTTGAAGATTCTAATAAAGATGAAAATGTCACCAATTCCAAAAATTGAAAAGGATTATGTAAAGTTCAAGATCATTTGTATTATGGTACTATTGCATTAAATAAAATCACTTTGGGAAAAGATGAAGATGAATCAGTTGCAAAAAATAATTGAGGTTTATTTTGAATTGTTTAAAGGGATTTTAGGAAAAACAGAAAAAGAATAAGGAGAAGAAGAAGGGATAGAAAGGAATGAAAAATCAAATGAAGAAGAGATTAAAGCAAATGAAATAAAGCAAGAAGAAAGATTGAAACAAAATAGGGGTAAAAAGGAATTAGAAATAGGGATCAAGGAAGACTTAATAATCAAAGAGCATAAAGCAAATTATTAAGTGCAATCTTCACTGGATTTTATTGTTCATTACCTGATGGTAAGATTGATGATGATGGATTAAAGGATGAGATTTGAAATTTATTCAAGATTTTATATTCTACTAATTCATATGTTTTTAGACAATCTTCAACATTAATTTATCATTTAATCAAGTTTCATCAATTTTTGATCAAGATTTCTCAACATCCACTTTTGTGAATCTTTTGTTTGAAGCTCTTAAAAAAGATCAATGCATGCAAATAGTTGAAAGTTTTGTAAGAAGGATCCTTCAGGGGTTGATCTTTGATCAAGCTCCATTTATTTGTTCTGCTTTAGTCTTAGTTGGTTATGTAAGTGGGATCCTTCTTAATTTTTATTTATCAATTTCAAGATTAACATACTTTTTTATTGAAGATGTCAACTTTTTCTCAATGATTGTTAATCATCTCCTTGATTTGTCAAGCTTATTTACAATCTAATCCTACCATTTCTCCTTTGCCACCAAATGCAATGGAAAACCATGTATGTGGTAAGATCTATCAAACTGTTTCATAAGATAATCAACTTTACAACATCTCACAAATCAGTTCTCATTTTGAAAACCCAAAACAATTAAACTATTTGGATTTAGTAAGTTTTGGTGTCTTATATGAATTTAAAAGCCATCTTCAATTCATCAACAATTTAGTTCAAGTTATATAATCAAATCTCAATTTGGATTCAATCCATCAACCTTGCATCAAATCAAGAATGATTAGAGTTCTATCTGTCAGTAGTCATCTCAATTGTTAAAACATATCAAATCATTAATAATCCCTAATGCCATCTTTTGTTCAAAAGTCTACATCACAGATTGAGCAAATTTTCAGTGTAAGAATTCAGGAATCAGCTGGAATCAAAATCTTACTACAATTGATTAATACTGAGCCTTGGAAACAGATGGTGGGTGATCTCAGTTTTTCTATTTTGTAATCTTAGAAGGTTGAATAAATTAATGTGTTTGAGCATGGTGTACTAGATTATTTGACAATTTGAAGATCTTCTCCCTGTGCATATATATCACTAGCACAATTGGGCGGCAGGCGCCGCACTGACATTTTTGTCAAAACCTGAAGAATAATTATGGGGTGTTTCTGTAGATACTTTGAGGATTTGGTGTGCTCCCAGGCGCACCTGAACTCTGACACATTGGTTTTGTGCTTTTTGTGCCACACCCTGTATGACTGCATGGTGCACATTGTGTAAACCATAGTATATCCTGCCCTAAGCCTAACCCCTAAACCTAAACCTAAACCTAACCCCTAACCCTAACCCTAACCCTAACCCTAACCCTAACAGTTCCTAACCAGTTTTTACTTCTTGAGTCTCATCAGGGATTTGAGGTTTTTATCTTTATTAGTTGTCCTTGTGTGCAACAATTACAAATTGCCAATCAATGATTCAAGATGATAGTCATTTTGTGTTTCATAGCTATCTTGCAATGGTTTTCTCAGTATTTCAATACTGTAGCATCATCTCTCATTTTCCTAATGTCACTACATACCCACTCCAATCAGTTGAGCTTTCAGTTCTCATCAAGGTGTAAATGACCCAGGTGGATTGATCAAAAGAATCTGATTGGACAAAGTTTGATGATAGCGAACAACGGTTAATGTAGAAAGCAAAAGGTATAAGAAATATAAAAGAAGGAAATTTATAATTCACATATATGTAGTAATACATATCATGTTTAGATGGGTACGGGTTTTTTTACTGAAGGCAACTGTCGAAAACAATATTGTGTATCATTTTTTTAAATTCAGTAAGAATTCCAGGATCAAAAGTAAAACATGACCTATTGAACTTCAAAAAGAAGAGGCTTGGATAGCAATGATAATCAAATAAATGTACTTGTATGAATGTTAAGGAAAATCATTGGAGTCAACCTATGAGCTCATTCAAGACTTTTGAAAAACACAAAGAAGAGATCAATACAAAGATGGAAGAAAAGGAAAAGAGTAGTATGTGAGAAATATACCTTCTTGACATGATGATAAATCAATTGATAACCGACTCTTATCTTGACTCCTTTGCATAAAATATTCTCAATTGCATCTTATGGTCAAGAGCTTCTAAGAAAACTACTGGGCCAATATGTGAATGGCTCATTCACTTTACATAATTTGAGTTCATTAGTCTTACATGAATGTGGATTGTGATGATATGGATTATACATGAATTACTAATGTGTTGTGTATTATAAGACAACTTTATCTCTTCTGCTTCTTCATTCACAAGGACCGCCAGATCCCCCCTCGACGTCGTGGGGGGTTGGCAGCCTCGCAAACGTGTTGCAAATGTGTCCAATCCTATGTGCCTTTGTGTGTCCTAGCCTTAGGCAGTGTTTAGGCAAAACTTCCATGATCGCAAGCCTGACCATCTTTAAGCTCTCAGCTTGGGCTGAACATGGACATTCCGCTCAGAAAACTGGATGAGCCAGCTATCTGGAAAAGTGAACTTTGACATTTCACAAAGGAAAATGTCAACAGACCTCCATGTAGTATCACATGCAAGACATTTTGTCTTTTTATGAATCAGATTGATCATCATTTTCAATTCAATCCATCGATTTCACTACTCAATAATCAACAAAAGCATTCTTAAGACTTTATGAAAATGAAGAACAACAAATCATATAGTCAACTCAAGAACTCATCAGTTTCATAGCAGATGCACTGCCACCACCCAATCAAAAACAATCTATCAATTCAATTCATCAATCTTCATTACTTTCAATTCCAATTCCATCAAAACATTCATCACTCAATCTTCACTTTCAACTTTCCATCAATTCATCAATTCATTCATCATCTTCTATTGCTTTGATGATTCAACGCACATCTGGATATTGAACTCTTATCTCATTTGTTTAATTAGATCACGATTGCTACTACTGCAACTCAAGCCTTTGCTGAACAAATCAAGGCGATTGACAATGAATTGAATAGATTACAAGGCATTGTACCACATGTTGAGATGAAGATTACTAGATCAGAGATGGTCAAACAACTTGAAGAGGCTAGACAAACTATTGAGGATATCAGGTAAAGTTTATATTTCTATTTGAATCCGAATGAGATGCTGAACTTTAAACTGACAAAGATTATGAAAAGATCTTACAAGTAGGAGGAGTGAAACTAAGAACAATGAATTGCAATCCAATCGATTAACTAAATCAGAAGTTACGCTTAATAAATCAAAACGAGATTTTGAAAAGTACACAAGAAGTTTAGAAAAGAATTCAGAAGAATTGAATTCGATTGCGATTGGATTAGAAGAACTTGAAGGAAAGAATTCAGTGATGGTAGCTGAAACTGAAGCTATGAGAGAAAGAAAGCTTTTGAAGGTGGTTGGTATGAATGTATTGAACTTGAAGAACTAAAGGTTGGATTCTCTCGATCTACATTGCTTAATGCTTGACTTATTCACTTTACCATTTGATTTGCTGACTTGATATTTTTGATCATACATAGTCATTACGAACGATTCCTATGCATCCTTTCATCATCCCGCTCTATGACACATTTTTACATTCTACTACTTGTGAACTTCATTTCATATTCGAATGTATGGAGGAAAATCTTTATCAGCTTACTAAATTTAGAAAAGGTCGACCATTGGCGGATGGTCTCATAGCCTGTATCTTTGAGCAAATTGTATTAGGACTTCATCATGTTCATTCTTGTGGTTACTTTCATCATGATATGAAACCTGAAAACTTACTTATCACTACAACGGGTCTCACCAATTACCCTCAAGGAAATTGTAGAGTCTTGAATGATTGAACGAGTCATTGAGGGCGAGATTGGTTTGATTGGTACGAGTGATAGTCGATGTGAAATTGTATATTTACAAGATTAAATGAAAATCTCATACACTGGATCATAGAGAATGAAAACCCGAGAAAGGTCAATGTCTTCTGAATGGTGCATGAATGATTGTAAGAAAATAAACTTGACTGTTATGAAAAGATGATGAGAATGGTCTCAATGGGCTATCAGTGACATCTTGATTGAGATCAAAGAATGTATCTTTGGTTTCAAAATCGATATAAAGGATTGATTTGATCAAATGAGGATGCTTAGATACAAACACTTTGGCTTTCAACCCAAAGAAATTGTTCAAAAAACAACAAGACAATCAGATGTAATGTAATGAAAAAGATCAAGAGAATTACACTTACGCTCCATGACCATGACCTACCACAATAAAACCAGATTGACTGATTCCATTCCAATCTTTTTTGAATTTGATCAAATGCACCAATTTGTTTCAAGAGTTTATCCATCACTTTTATACTATCTGGGATTTTAGTCATACATAGGTAAATTCATAGTGATTGTGTGAGGTGAGACTGAAGATTGTTGATCTTCAACTTGACAATGTATAGTTGTTGATCATGTTGCGTTTGATGTGTTCGATGAGTTGGAAGTTGATGTGGTGGGGGATGAAATTGTGATGAGGTCAATTGTGGTGGTCGTGGTTGAACAAATGGGCAGATGGATTAAGAATAGGTCATTGTAAAGGCATGCAATTGATCACGGGGATTGGTTTCTCGGAATCCCGGTTAGCCAATAGTCCAACAGGAGACCTGTGATGAGGCACCGAGCTGGAGGAGAGATATATCATTAAAGGTGTGACACAAGGTTTATGTGTGTGTCAGATTGTGAAATGTCTAAGTCTCAGCGACAAGACTCAGTTGTGGGCCTCTCAAGAATAGCCCTATGTTCCCTAAAGCTTAGAGGATTGGCTGAACGTGCAGGGCTGTTCATTAAGACTTTTGTGCTAAGGCGGTGGAGCAATGCATATCTGAGCTGCTCAGATAGAAATCAATTGTGATGCAGGCTGGAGACAACTGCGAGACGCCAACCCCCCTCGATGTCAAGGGGGGATCTGGCGGTCCTTGTGATTACACAGCATACTAACAAGAATCATGTCATTATTGAATCAAATCCAAAGAGTTATTCAACTGAATTAGGCTGGATATGAGAAATTGTAGATTTCTGTGTTGAATAACATTTGATTGTACAGGACCAAGTCCAGAGTCTATTGATTCCATATGATTTATTGGCCTGATTGTTTTGGATTCTTGGTCCGTACATTTTTGAATTTGTTCTTGTGATTTGTCATATGATTTGATAATGTTTTTGTGTGATTTAAAACATGGAATGTTTAATATATTGAGCCATGTGATAGCTTTAAATGATGATCCATTGGTTTTTCTAAGTCCTGGCACAAATGCAATCAAATAAAATCCAGGTGACATCAATTTAAAACCCTATAAAGAATGAATAAATATTTGAAGTGAGTATCAAGGCTCTATGGGAAAAAAGACAAAAGAAAAGCCAGCTTGATAGTGAGGTCCAGTTAAAGATGAATGACTATCAATGGAGAGTTGAGTTGAGACTACCTAAATTGTTTGTAATGAAAAATAAAGCTGCACTGTGAAACATGTGAAGTTAGATGCTTGATACCTTTTCATCATCCATATTTTGGGAATTTTGTGTTTTAGTAAAGAGGTGTTGATGGTTATGTCAATAATGAATTGCTCAAGTTGTTTGAATCACAAGACTTGAAGCTTGATTGAGTTCTTGTTCACAAATATCCATATGAAGTACTTATCCATTGATGTAATCAATGTCAGTTGTTGCTGAGCACATCAAGCAGGTTCATTCACAAATCATTTATAGGTTTAGATCTGGAGCTTCTGGATTATTATCCATAGCACTGAAATGCATCAAACAATATCTTTCATCTTCAAGTGATGATTTGGAAGCAGGTCATGAGCATTTGAACGTGTGTTGTAACTTCAATAAGAGCCATCCAACATGCTCAATATTTTTACCTTCTGATTGTGAAAACTTCACTGCATAATCTTCAGATTTTGCAATACCCCTTGGTTCCAATTTGCCATGAATGAATCATTCCCACGAGAAGGTCTTTTATACAAAGATTTTTCTATGATTACAGATAACAATATAACTGTATTTCATGGGTATTCAATTTCTCCTTGATCAAAATACAACACATTTCCTTTGCATCCATTTGCATCTATCTTAAAAAGTAATAATCTATCTTAAAAAGCAATAACAACATAAAAGGTATATCCTCATACTATTTTGCATTTTTGATCCATATCAAAGACAGTTGCATGGATTTTTTCGATCAGCCTCACCAAAACTGAAACTAAAACTAAAAAAGGAACACAAAAAAGTATATGATATCCTGAAGAAAACCTTTCATAAAAAATAAAAACTACAGCTGTTAAAAAAACTCTGTGTAAAAAAAGGGTAACAACGAAAAATATTGAATGACTTGTTTTTTTCATGTATCATTCACAGCAGATAACAATGCATTCCTTCAATTGTTTGCCTAGGTCTAATTTCATTACATAATCCATGCATATTAAATGGAGTTAATTTGATATGAGAGATGATTTGATCGATTTTGGAAACTTGATTGGTTTGACTTTGGTTCCAAAGTGATGGAGGTCCTTGGTTTGATAATTGGTTTAAAAGTTTCAAGTATGAATAAAATAATGTATTTAATAGCGCTTGTAATGCTTCTTTACATTCTACAAAAAATCGAATCATTCAAAAACGTCAGCTTGTCTGTTTGAAGTTTCTATGATCAAAATCATTGAAAAATTTGATTGATATATAAAGAAATATTCAAAATTACCCATATTCCCTTCATATAACTTTGGCATACCTTCCAACATAGCTCTAGAAGATTTACCAGGCCAAGTTTCCCAATCACCAAAACAAGTAAACCCACCTCTTTCTTCAATAAAATCCAGATTAGGTGGTTCAATTAATGTCTTGAAATGAATCCCTTCATTCACTTCTTCTTTTAAATCTTGACAATTTTCTTTAATTAATTGTTTTTGTAATTTTGGATTGAAGGTTTTGGATGACCGATTTAGTTTTGGTACAATTCTTTTAGCTATGTAGATTTGAATTTGTTTTAGTGAATTTTAAGTATCAGGTTGATGGTGGTGGAAAGCAAGACTAATGATTCCTTCTAATCTTGAAATCACTAAAACCATAATTGCTCTAAGTTTTAAAGTTGATAATTTTGAATTAATGGTACTATTGAAGGTGTTGATGCGCATAAAATGGAAGGACTTGAAGCCGTATCAGGTGAATTAGCACATTTTTTTCATAATCGATTTGCCTAGGAGATAAACAACCAAAAAAGTTGAAGATTAGTTTTGTTGATTCAGATTCAAGATTTTTGATGATAGAAACAATAAAAAAACCTGAATCTTAGTTTGAAGATGTATTGAAGCATACCAGCATAAGTTAAACAAAAGGAACCTATAAAACTCTCACACTGCAAAGATAATATATTTTTCCATGGTGAAAAATGATTGAAACCAGCAATTGAAATGGCATGCTTCATATTGGTCCAAAAAATCTAAAAAAATCAGGTAAGTAAAATTGTGTGATTTTCTCTCTGGCGGGAGATTTTGGTGGATATAGAAAAATTCTAGCACTCTGTTTGGTGATTTCCCAGATTTTTCGGCAAGATAGACAGAAATGCAGAACTTGCACACTCATTTAAGCCTCCAAAATTAACGCAAACAAGCCAGAAAAAAAATCATAAGTGAAGGACAGCATTCCCTTTGTTGAACATTTTTTTTGGGATCTTGCTGGCTCAGTATGTATACCATCACATTTGTATTGTTGAAACTATATATATTATGCTGACGTATGTACAAGGCTCCGAAACCACCCAGAAAAAAATTTGCAACACAACAAAGAATGTGCCATTATGTGGAAAAAAATTCAGGATAATCCGTCCACATTTGATACATTGGTGACCCAAAATACATTCACAATTTATTTGGAAAACAGAGAACAACTTTTGGTGTTATACCTTGCATATATCCAAGACAAAGGCGCCAAAAAATACAAAAAAATCACCAAACATTACAAAGGGCATTTTTGATCTGTCCTGATTTTTCCGGATTTTTTGAACTGCTGTGAGCTTTCAGAAACCAGAAAGAGTATCAGGAATTGCTTGCTGAGTTACTTCTGAGTAAAACACTCTAAGCAACTTGAAAAAGACGTTCAAGGACAAACAGCATTGTATCTCTCTGCAATCCGTTTTCCAAGAACTTTGGGCTAAAACTGGGCCCTAAATTTCAGAAATGGTTTTTTGTCAATCATTTTAAAATAAATGCAATCATTCTTCACCACGGAAAAATATATTATCTTTGCAGTGTCAGTACCTGAATCACAAGTTTCCAGGATTTCTTAACATGGTGGCTACATCAAAATCAAAAGTCAGCCCAATTTGATAACAGAAGATTGAGAATAAGATAGTCTTACAATGATACCCATATCTAAAATTAGGATTTAGATATGCATTAGATTCACAAATTGGACACATATTGGATACCAACTGATTATCCAAAAACCAAGCTCTCAGTTCATACAATCCCAATCCAAGACTCTGGTCCGATAATGAGAAAGAGAAAGATACTAACAAAGAGTTCCACAGCTCTATCGGTGATTGCGTCTTGAATTACTTGATCCAATGACATCTTTGTTTGGAGTTGAACTCATCAATGAGGCAGGATCAAGATGAATGAATGAGGGTCCACAGTTTCGATTCTTGTTGAAACATAAGTAGTTGAGATGTTATTATTTTTATTAAATGTAGATGTTGCTGGTTTGGTGATGCTATAGGGTTATTGAACTTGATCGAACAGTGTGTTCTTCCACGACTTCATCATCATCATGATCATGATCACCATGACTCTTTGCTCAATTTTGCCACTTTTATTATCTTCTGCTTCTACTTTAATCTTCAATGTATTTGATTCAACTTGTATGTATTGCTTCTATTCTTCTTCTGCTCAAATCATCGAAGATTGATTTGGTCTTTTGACTTCCATAATAATTGATGAATCATTTGGAATTGGTTTGAGTAGAGATTTGTATGAATGAATGATGATGATGATGATTGGTGAAGTTCTCGGAACGTAAGTGCCTTTACACACCCAATCTACAAAATAATTAAAAAAAAGATCGGGATTTTTGTGGGGACGTCGTTTGCCATATGGTGAAAGTCGAAAGGATAATGTACAATTCCTGATTCTGATCAACTCGGAGTGAGTTGGATGGGTTTGAACACCTAACAAGAAAACAGGTCCTCCTTCTTTATGATAAGGAGAATCAGGCCAATGTTGTTAAGAGAAAGAAGTGACTGAAAGAAATCAACTGAATAAAACGGCATTAAAGTCGATTATAAGATGTTCTCGTCAATGTTCAGCTCTGGATCATTTCAAATCATAAGAGTCAAGAGAAATGACGTACCAGCGACTAAAACGTTGATTGTCGCTCACAGCTTTTTCATTCAATCAAATCAATTCACCTTTCCTTCCGTCATGTTCATGTTTTAGCTTCTTCTTGAAATTTGTTTGGTTTGATTGTCTTGCTGGTAATACATTTGGTCAATCAAGTAAAGAAGGGTTATTGTCAGATCAAACAGTAAAGAAGAAAATTGATAATTGGGGAGAAGAACAAAGAATACTACTCAACTGATCCCTTCAACTTCTTTTTAAGATGATCTATAGTTTCAAAATATTCACTATGTTTATCAACAACTTAAATATCCTGTGTTGTACCACCAGCTGTGTGAATAGATAGGTTCCAAGCTTGAACCATGTTTTTTTGGCTGTTATTCTATTGTTTTTTGCTTGCTTAAGTATGACGATGATATAAGGGATTGAAAAATGAATACGATGTAATGAGATTGAGGAATGATCAGAGTCAGAAGTTGAAGATGGAAGTGGTATTCATTTGATTGAACACATTGATAAGGGTTTGGATCAATTGACTGGAGGTAGATTTTGTTTAGATTCATAAAGATGATGATTGGAAAATCCTCCCAGTGTCCAAAACTTGGGCTGGTCAAAACTCACAATTTTCCCGGCAGGAATTGGAGGTTTTGACAGGTTTTGTTCAAATTGATAGTTCTCCGTTAAAGTTTATGATATAGCTGGTGTCCCTCAGAGTTGGGCCTGGAATGTCTTGATTCCCATCATATGTTACAATTCTAAATATCAATCTTTGTCTGAAAACATTGTATACCAGCCACCAAATCATATAGGACACTTTTACATACTTACTCATTATGTGGCCAGAAACCAATCCACAAGTTGAGTTTGACATATTTTCAAATGTACAATTGATCCTAAATTACCTTTAATTTCTCATAATCAGACTAAACTTTCTTGACCGGGTAGAGGAGTTCATTTTGAGTTCAATCAACCCAGTCTTAGTGCCAATCCAAATAATGAGCATGTACCACACTATCATACAATCTAGTTCTTGAATTCCCAAAGTGAGTATTTTTTTGCAGTCATGTTGGTTTGATACTCCAACATTTTACTGAGATTTTTGTTTAAATTGTTGTTTCAGTTTGCAGCTTGGACTTAAAGTAAATATTATCAATCAAAAACCTTTTGGATATGTAATGAAAAACTAACATTCATTTGATTAATCCAATCAGAGTATAATTTTCCTTACTTGAATCTATTCAATGTAACATACTCTTCTGGCTCAAATATCAACCTTTCTCAGCACTTTTCCTTGCCAAGTTGATTACCATCAATCAAGGGACCTATCACAGGGGCAAAAATTGATGCTCACAACTATGTGAGCGTTGAAATTTTCCTGTTTTGTTCCCATTTGTTTCCCATTTGTTTCCAATTTGTTTCCCATTTGTTTCCCATTTGTTTCCCATTTGTTTCCCTTTTCTTTCTGTTTGTCAGCTGATTACGTGATCATCAGGAACTGAGCAGACAAACCAAGCCTTCCTCAGCATTTATTCCTGAGCAAAGAAGTCTGAGGAAGGGCTGATCCATCTGCTCAGCTGATCCTGAGCGGCATTCCCTGGTTCAGTAAGCTCCAAGGGATGCCACCAATGTATAGCTTAGGGGCTGAGCTGAACTGAGTATCCCCTTAGCTAAGTCTCTGAAGTATCCCCCAGATGGATCACAGAGCGCCAAGCTTGCCTCAAGCTTGATGGCTCCAGAATGAAGCGTGAGGCCCATCTGCTCGTTCAACTGAGCTGCTCAGTTATTCCTCAGGGGCATCCCTGAGATCAGGGGGATCCAGAGGATTTCACTGCTCAGTTATTCCTCAGGGGCATCCCTGAGATCAGGAGGATCCAGAGGATTTCACTGCTCAGTTATTCCTCAGGGGCATCCCTGAGATCAGGAGGATCCGGAGGATTTCACTGCTCATTGGATGAGGGCCTGCTCAGCTAGTCCTCAGGGGCATTCCTGGACGGATCAGAAGGATCCAAAGGATGTCACTGAGTATTGGCTGAGGGGCTGCTCAGTTGATCTCAGCCCCTCAGTGTGAAAAACTTTATCCGGGGATATCACTGAGGATTAGCTGAGCAATGAGCAGATGGGATGACGCTTTTATCAGGCTTCATTCCTTAGCAAGGAAGTCTGAGAAAAGTCCGGCCCATCAGTGATCCAGTCAGGGGATGCTACTGAGTATTTGCTGAGCAGCTCAAATGGGACGCCCCTGGGCAGGCTTCTTCACTGAAAAATGAAGCCTCAGGAAGGTATAGTTCATGTGCTCATCTTCATTTTGAACAAATTGCTGAGTATTCAGTGCCTCATGAGCTGATCCTGAGTACTCATCGGGAATCAGTTATTGCTCATCCAAGATGGAAATGAGCCTTCTCAATAAATGTCAAGTAAAATATGAGAACCACAGGATGATCACCTGAACACAAACAAGATTGTGAATTGAATCAATCTGAAAGAAAATGAATCTTTTTTGGAGAATTCCAAAAAGTCTACAACACTCACATGTATGTGAGTATCTATTTTGGCCCCTGTGTATGTTGATTGCTTTGACAGATCCAAGTCATAGTCCATCCCTGGAAGTTTGATTGTTTATCAATTTGTTTGTGAGAATTGGTTGATTTGAAAGTGCCTTCATATAATATATCACACTTTTAAATCAAAATATCATTGTTGACAAGGGTTTTTGATTTGGTGCATAGCTAAATAATCTCAAGATCAATACTAGCTCACTGAAAGTTTTTTCTGTCTCATTTTGATGATTATTGGATGATTAGGTCCAGCAATGTATCAAGCAGCTTGAAATATTTTTGTGGTTGAAAGAAATTTTACATTTTGAGAACTTTTTATATTTATGAAGGTAATCTGAAACAGCACAAAGGCTCCTTGATCATTTCATATATGAAGGCAGTTTTAAATTGTTTCAGTAAAGTATTGTATGAAGTTTTTCAATTGATTTTTATATCTTTACTTTGAGAAATACAATGATCATATTCTTCAAAACCATTGAATAACATGAAATTGTTTTGAAATGAATCACTTGAAAGATAAACTAAGATCAATCTTAAAGTTAAGCTCTTTAATTTGATTTGTTTCAAGGAAACAAATTGTTCATGATAAAAAAATTGTAGAGTGGTGCCACACTGTACTAGAATATACATTTCCCATTAGCAGATATGTGTATCTCCAGGAATGTTCAAAATCCCCAAAGGCACAATAGTAATCCAAATCAGTCCATCTATTAATCACTTCAGAGACAGAAAATGATTCATTGATGTGACTAGAAGGTTATATGCCTCAAGTTGACTATTCTATTGACTGATTTTCATTATGGGAGCACAGGTAAGCTGGAGAATACCATGTCAAAATTGAGAAAAGAACACCAAGACTCCATGTCAACGCAAACTGAGTGGGGAGGAGGCAAGCTTCAATAGAATGCGTCTTCAATATGAAAAACATTTAGGAGCGTAACTGAGATTTTACAGAAGGTGTGAAATACACATAAATAATGACTAATAAGTTCCACAACAGAAAATTTTTAAGACAAGCACAGGTTGAGACCGTTGAGGCGGCGCCCGCCGCTGATTGTGCTAGGCACAATATGAAAGAAATCAGCAGTATGTTGCTATACAACAGAAGTACACCAAGCTACAGCTAATTCTTTTCTGAGACCTGGGTCAATGCTGGCTCAGTTGCGCTGAAGAAGCAGTTAGCGTTGCTCTAGCGCAACTGAGCTTCGGTACCAAGTTTGCACCTTGGCCGGTAACTTTCCCGGAGTTACACTATCCCAGAAAACCCAAATTGGGTAACGGGTACTCAGTACCGCTTCCCAATTCTGGGGATGGGTTAGGGTGGTACTCAGTACCGCTTCCCAGTGCTGGGGTCAAAGCCACACCAAACACTGTACAGTATTGTACACCGATCTTTCCATCCATCAACTCAAGCCTCAACGAACTCACTCTATAGGACACCAATGTTCTCATCATCTCAAGCCTCAGGTCAATCAATTCACACGGTGGCAGGCGTAACAATTTCCAAGATCCTTGACACCTTCTTTGACTGTGCACTGTACAATCATGGCGAGAGGCATGGACAACCATTATTCGATGGCCTTCATGTAGATTCAGATTGGTCAGTATCTTTGCTTATATCACTGCCAGTCGTTGACCTAATCTTTTCCTTCACTGACCTGCTTCTTGGTTTATCAAATTATA